TCTGTTTTCTTTCTTTCCTTCTTTCTTTTTTTTTCAGGGGGTTCTCTGTTCATATTACAGAAAAAAACAAAGTGTGAATAAATTTTTTTCTTGTCAGCTTCTTATTGTTGATTCTTGCTGTTAATATTACCGCGTTGTTTTTCTCGTGTGTTGTTGTAATAAATGAATAAGTTTAGTTTTGAACGATGAGGAAAATTTATTCTATCATGCTGTGAATCGTTCATTAATGTATGTGTATGTGCGTGTATGTGTGTGTATGTGAACTCATATAAACGTGTATATATCTATACATACATATGAGTTCATGGATTATCGGTTTCCTTCAATTATTTATTTATTCAATCATCTACTCATTTAATTAACTAATTATATTAGTAGTATAATCATAATAATGATTATAACTAGTATAGAAAGGAGGATAAATTTTCATTACAATTTATTTCTATAAGATTATGTATATGCATAATATTAGTAGTAGATAGCATCATTTCCCATAAAGTGTTGTTTTAATAAAGTAATAGTGTCAAAAAAGAAATTTCCTTACTTTTTTCACTAACAGAAATGTAACCAGGTACTGAAAACTGAATTCAATAGGTAATTAGCTGTGTATAACTGAATACCATATGAACGTGGGTCATTTAGTCAAATAGACACAGTGTTTAGAGTCATCTACATGGTGTACAAAAATTCACCAAAGACAATAGGCTTCTATCTTCTTGACATTGTCGAAGCTTATGTCATACATTTTGAAAAGCTAGAAATATGCTTAGAAAAGATACTTATTTACCCTATTCTTCTGTTCATGATCTGAACCTAAAGTTTTCCAAAGATATTACTGTCCCCCTCTTGTAATCTATTGATAGTTTACTGTTATTCAACTTATTTTGTTCACATACCCTTAACAATTATAGTCCATTTTAATTCCAAAATTTTAGTCTAACACTTTAAGCAATGTTTTTTTTTCACACATTGTTTTTTGTATCAGATTGAGTTTTTATAGATATTGTAGTGATCTTTTTAATAGTTGAATATGTGCGTCTTATAATAATCATCTTGTGCTGACTAGTGACTAGCTTCAGGATGAATGTCATGGAGTTTTAGTGAAAAGCCATCACCAGTAGACTTCAACCGTGTCTAGTGTGAAACAGTTACTCACTGAAGATAGTGGTGGACTGTCGCACAATATTTTGGATTGGTTGAACATAGACATTAATACCGTCGGATCCTATCCAGCTCAGTGGTTTAGAGGTTAAGCGTTTGTGTGTGAGACTGGAGGTCTTGGGTTCGAGTATTTTTGGTATTAGATCGTGGATTCACAGTGGTGAGTCGTTTCATACTTGAATGAAACGACCATCCAATCCTTCCACGTTTTTAATGGTTGTTCAACTTAGATCTATTCATAATTTCAACAACATCCTACAAATCCTCGTAATGATAAATATCATGTGCTCGCTAATTACTAACTTCATGAGGACATTTGCAGAGTTCCAATGTGAAGTTGTAAGCGGTGGAGTTCAGCTATGTTGGATATATGACAATATTCATCAACAATATTAACTAATGTTCATACAACAATACAAATTAATTAAAGTTAAACATGTAAACTGTTGTATCCCGGCTCCCCGGTCTAAAAGTTTAGCTCCCTACTTAAGACCTGAAGTTCTTGCACTCACTTCCCGATAAGTTGATAGATTCCTACTGGTAAGAAGTTCCGCACTGGAATTGTGAAACTATAAACTAACAAGATCAATTCTTAAAAAATCAGTAATTTACACTACCGTAATCTACGCTACACTTCACAATTTTAGTGACAAAGACTATGACTAAATCAGTACTTGTAAATAGTTTTTTGGTAAGAAAAAACAAAGCTGAAAGTGTTCAATAATTTACCAACTTTTATAGATTATAACCAGTATGGGGATTTGTGGTGATTGTAGTAATTTTAATAATTAGATTCATGAATCGATCTAAGCCAGATCACCATTGAAAATATGGAAACATTGGACAGCCGTTTCGTCCGAATATGGAACCACTCACCAGTGCACACCCACGATCCCACACCAAAACGACACGAATCCAAGACCTTCTATCTCACATGCGAACGCTTGACCTTTAGACTACTGAGCTGAATGGTATCCAACGGTGTTAATACCTAATTTCAACCGATCCATGATCTTGCGCAACCATTCATCTTTTGTCTGGGATAGATACTTGTCTCCACCCGACACAGACTAAACGCTATTGGTGACGGCTTCTCACTCTAATTTCAAGAAATCCATCTTGAAGGTAGTCATTAGTGACCACAAGATGATTATTATCAAAGTGGGGGCTTGTAGAGATTGTAGTAATTTTAATAGTTGAATAATTTGAGAAGTAATAATAATAATACATATATATTTAAACACGCGCTTAATTACCAAAACACCAAGTAATGTTATTTTTTGAGACAAAAATTCAAGATTTTGACGTCTATTTTTTGTACTTATTTAAGTGAATCACCATGATTGTTATCATTATAATAGTACTTTATTATTATTATTATTATTATTACTACTACTACTACTACCAATTATAAATAGTATGACTAATACTCATCTGCGTCTTATTAGTAAAAAAATTTACATTTGTTTTTTTCATTTTTAAAATTTAAGGTGGGACTTGCTACTATGGGGTGTATAGTGTATTCTAGGAGTAGATTTACAGATTTCTTTTCTTACAAATAACATTTAGTACCACTTCAATAAAGAATTTATATATATATATATATATATATATATATATATATATACTTCTAAATACATATATTAGTATTACATCAATTATTCAAAGCGTAGTCATTATATTTACCACCCCCTTACCCTCAAAAACAGAAATGCATTCGACAGACGGTCGCAATAGTATTAGTATTAGTAGTGGAGGTGGTGAATATAAAATGGGGTAGGGAGAATTTAAAAAATGTGATATAAAAAGGTAGTGAAGGAGAGAGAGAGAGAAAAAACAATAAAAAGTCAAATTTTATTTTTATTTTCCCATTTTATTTTGCATAAACTCACGTTTAGTCAATTTCCCAATTGGCAAAATGTATAAATGTTAAATTTTCTTTTATTGAAACTCTTCAGGAAAATAAATAATAATAATAATAATTCTCTATCACTTAAACAAAAATCCATCGAGTCTTTTGCTAACTATCCTCATTAGTTTTTCCACTTGTTTAACTATCATTCCTTACTAAACTGTTTTGGTGCTTCAATATTTTAACTCTTCTTCACTTTGTTTACTTCCCTTAACCCCACTCCTCTCAGTTTGAAATCATAATCTGTGAACAGAAAACTATTTTAAATATTCCTTATTTATGCATAATACATGAGACATTTTTGTAAAAGAAAATAATGATGAAAAGTATCTATTTCACTTATTGTCTAAAGCACATTACCATGTTATACAGTTTATAGAAAACAATGAAATGTAAAAAAAAAAAGTTAACATCTTCACTATCTAATGAGTATTCATGCGTTACACATACATTATGCATGCATGCATGCATGCATGTATGAAAACACAAGAATAAAATAATTTTTGTACGTCCAAAAAAGAGATAGACTTAACTTATATTGACATGTCTTTTGTATGTATGCGTGTGTATGTGTGTACGTGTGTGTAGTTATCTGTACTTTTTGTCTCAGTAACACAGATTTGTCAATCAGTGAGATTTATTCGATAGAATGAATTTTATAAAATAGAGAACATCATGTTTTAACAGACAGAATAATATGTCTAGTTAAATGTAGAAAATAAACAATATTTTTGTTATCAGTATAGAGTTGTGGAGATTGTTGAGTTTTTTTTTTGAGATCATGAATAGATCAATGTTAGACTAGTTTCACGATAGATTTCCTGGAGTTTTAGTAAGAAGCCGTCACTAGTGGAGTTTAACCGTGTTTAGTGTGAAGCAGTTACTCACTAAAGACAATGGTAGACGATCGCGCAATATCATGGAGTGGTTGAAGTTAGAAACTAACACCGTTAGATGTCATCCAGCTCAGTGGTCTAGAGGTTAGGCGTTTGTATATGAGACCGAAGGTCTTGGGTTCGAGTATTTTCGGTGTGGGATCGTGGATGTGCACTGGTGAGTTTTCCTACACTACGACAAATCGTCCATTCAGTGATTTCAGGTTTTCAATTGTGTTCTAACATTGATCCATTCATCATCTCAATATTTCTTTTTAACAAATAATTATTTCAAAATTAGTTAATTTTAAGAATATATTCTATACAGTACGATGTGATTTTTAGATGAAGAGCACACAGATTTTGAAACAATGTTATTATTTAAAATAGTTTACAGACTAGTTAATTTCTTGGCATTTGGTCGGATAGAATTAGATGAACGTAAATGAACTTAAATGTTGCACACGTAGTTCGAATCATAAATAATTTATCAGTTACTTCAGGATTGTAAGCATGTCTTGGTGGCATGTGTCAGTTGACAAAAACACCAAGGTTTGGGACTTGCTAACGATTATTCCCAACAACTTAAAGTCTAGGTATAGTAGACGAAAGACTGAATCACTTAAACCAGTAATCATATTACAACCTATTAGATAGAATGACATTAGTAATAATGACAAGACAACCACATTATCATTCACCACTCATCCATAATGACTGAGCTGAAAAAAAGAGAGACATATTCTGAATACAGGATTATAGATTATAGGTTCCTATAAACTGATTTCTTTTAATGTATTCTAGGCCTGAACTAAGATATCTATATTTTGGGACTTTGAATCATTAGTCTATAGGTAGATGCTTAACCAGAACTTTATAATAGTCTCTAATTCCATCCATAGCTTAGTCATAGGTACAAACAAATAATGATTTCCATAGAATAAAGAAACGCCTGCTTAGTGTTTCCTGGTTTTCTAACTAGAATCATCCAGTATTGTAAATTGTCTTTAAACAAGAATATTACTATTGATAATCATAAAATAAAGACTTACCACCGTCAATGGAGTCTGTTCGACGAATACGACGTCCATGTTTTGAATTATTATGCACAAACATATTATCTGATATACAGAGTAATTTACGTTCAATTGCATGAGTTGATGATATTGCAACCTTCATAGGAATTACAATGAAAACAAGGTAACAAATACAGTTATACACCTTTTCTTTTCTTTATTATTTCTGCCCATAAATAATCAATAATTTAATTTGAGTAAATAAGAAACTTAACATCAAATAAAATGAAGTTCATTTGTTTGTTTAAATAGACTAATTATGTTTTAACCGGATAATGTGTTGACGCGTTCTTCATTTTGAAAAAAATGGTTGCATGATTCTAGCGAGGTAATCACCATAGTGATCAGTATTTTTTTTCATTTGTATTTTTGGTTAAAAAAGAACAGAAGTTTACGATGGGATTTATGCGTCGAAATTAGTCAATATTGAATAGCAAAAAATGTCACAGTAACAGATCTAGTCGAAAACGTACGTCATGAATGAGATCTAATCAATGTTGAATCGTCTTCTTGTCACATATTTTTGAAAATTCACAAATTACATAGGTATAAGACGATAATTTTTTTGGAAAATTACAGACTTCATTTTGAGAATTCCATAGGATTATAAGTTTTTCACGAACCAGTCACATCTAAGATAGTGAATCTTGAATGCCAGGCTGAAAGTTTATTTACCCGTATGGATTATTAACATCTCGGGATTATAGCTGAAGTTAATTCGTAGTGAAAACCATAACTCTAGTCATTAACTCTAAGTTCTAATCCGAAAGCCTCACATTTCTTTATAACTATTTTTTAATCCTAGTAAGTAGGTGACATTTATCAAGGGCACTTCGATATCGCTAAGAGGTTGCCGATAAGTCATAGTCTTGTAGAGAATTCTTTATTGTAGTTAGACTTATATCATCAAATGGGAAATAATTAGTGTATAATCTCAGACTTAGTTTACTATAAAATTCAACAATCATCACAATCCCGTATTGAGAAATTAGTTTGTCAACATGCATACATCATATACATCAACAATACTTGAAGATTTTAACATTGCGATTAGATGCCGCTAACAATTTACAAACTAAGACTCAAAAAACGATCCTATCTTTCTTTGTTTTTTTTTTTTTTTCAAAACTACCCGTTGAAAATACGTTGAAATCTCTTTAAAACTATTTATATTAATTCAAACTTTTATTAGAATAATTATTTTAACTCATTATAGTTTGATAACACAGACTTGGTTTATTTAGACAATCGTTGAAAACCAGAAAGCACTGGATAGTTGATTTCACTTAGCATGTGATGCCTTAACAGTGTACATTCATTACTCAATCGGAGATTGAATTTAGGACATTCGGTCCTTGATACAAGAATTTAATCTCTAAACAAATGAGCTGGTGATCGAATGATTAACATTTCTAACTTCAGCCGATCTACGATTAAGATCAACAACATAATTTTTAATTAATACTTCAATGAGAAAAACAAAATTCATTAATTTGATTACTCTAGCTTAAATATTCAGCGGCATTCTTACAGTTGAAGAACATATGAAGCCCAAAATAAACTGTCAGTCAATATCAAAGTCAGAAACTTCAATACGAACGTCAAGACAGTTCTACTTTACGGAGCTGAAACTTCGTAAACTACCACAAACATCATCAAGGAGGTACAAGTATTTCTAAACAATTGTCTACACAAAATACTCAATGTCCGTTCACCGGATACTTATTTATTTTTATTTATTTATTATTATAAGCTTTATTCAACATTATATTTTTGGTACAATATTGAATTCTCAGCATAAAGTATTTCAACAAGTTTCCTTTACTTATATCTTGATCGATCCTGACGATAAATATTGAGTGATGGCCAGTTAGATGTTAGGAGTTCGATAATCGACATCTGAATAATGTTCATTCGTTTCAATGCATATTGCAAACCACCATGATGTCGCTGGTTATACCTTTTTGTAATCCGTACAGCGAAAGATTGTAAACTTTTCATAAACGCGCCTGTATAGGTTGTGAGCTCAATAGACATAATAGTGTGTTAAAACAAACAAGAAAACAGATAACTTGACGAAATATCTAGATGGGAGGAACAGGTAGCCCAGATATTCAAGCAGATATACAAACAGCAACAACCTACTGAACGAAGGCCAGAAAACAAACGACACCAAGAATCGGAAGCAGACATAAAAACGATGAATAATAACTACAAACAACTGGAAAGAATTACCCACGACAGAGTTAGATGGAGAATGCTGGTGGACGGCTTATATTCTTTCATGAGGCGTAACAACCATAAGTAAGTAAGTAAGCTTGAGTAAATTTGATAAAACCAAAAACTCATAGTAAAGTAGCATATAAATACATAAATTTGAGTCGAATAAAAAAACCTACTTAAATTCATTTATTTTTTTTAGTAAAATCTATGGATACATTAGATACATAGATAGTCAATAAAACATATTTCTTTTTTTTTAAAAAAGAATATGTTACTTTCCTTATGGATAATCATAACTAACTACTCTTGGGATTTAAGTATAATCAATTTACTTCTCTATACACAAGCCTATACTAACCCAAAAGGTGATGCACTATGTATGTACGTATGTATGTGTGTGTATGTGTATGTATATATGTATCTACACTATTCTTCTTTCTTTTTACATAAAAAAGCTAAAATAATTTAAAAATAAACAAATGAGAAAATAAATATTTATTTATATTTACTATTCACTATGACTAAAATAATTTTATCATTAGATATGTAAGTAATCAGGAAGTAACAACTACTTTCATACATTTAACAAGCAAGCAAGCAAGCAGCTACAACATAGGACCAGGCACATATGTACATTGGTTCAAGTTGCCACACCTCATTAGCACAACAAGATGAACACCAAATTCAACAACACTTGAGATTATTTCATTCAAAATGAAAATTCATCTTATATGACCACTTTGACTAGTATACATTAGGACAAGGCTGTACATTGATAATGACTAACTGATTAGCAATGATACAGTTATACTGTTTATCATTGTCACTGATGAGTTGTAACGTTTTCATTTGAAAAAAAAAAATTTTGAACACCTAAAGGGGGTTTCAATTTCTGTATAGTCAAGGCTATACTAAGGTTTATTGAAGCCTTGGCTATACGAAAAAGCAAATTTTGTTACTCATTTCAATTTTTCATTGTACTAACTTATTGAAAATTGAAATAACTTGTTCTCGATTTCTACTGAAGTATTTTTCTTAGCAAGACTATAATTTATGGACGAACTAATCAGGTATAAGATAATAAGTCTCGGATTTTGGTGCGAAATTCATTCATCCATTTGGCTAAATAGAATTTCGGTATTGTAGCTCATGTCAGCTCGTGATGAAAACCTTAATTATTATTCCTCACCTTAAATATCAACTTTAAATTACAATTCGAAGTCCTCACACTAGTTTATCACACTCATTTGGTCCTAGTTATTAGGTGGACACTCTCAAGGTTACTTTAGCGTCGCCCAAGGGTCGTTCATAAATTATAGTTTCACCGTTTTTTTTTCCTTTTTTTGAATTGACTTACGTAAATAAACATTTGTAGTTTTTATATCATGGGTTGACTTTATTGAAGACTACTGTATCATTGTATTGTGTTATCATGGAACTTTTTAGATAGTATTCACCCAAAAACCCATCAGGATTTGAACTTAAAGAAGATGTTTAAATTAAACGGTAGCATTGTTAGATACTACTTACTTGAAGTAACACTTCGCTAATTGATATATAATATTTTAAATTTGACATCAAATTATCTTTTAACAAATCTCATATAAGATGGAATTATGCCCTAACGATATCAACACCAGTTTTAGGACTAGATACTAAAGCCCATTTTTTTTACAGATTATCGAAGAATAAGGATACTTAGATAGTAATGGTATGCTCTCAGTATCGAGTATTTCTGTGGATCTTTATGAGTAGAAATTAACTTTTGTATCTACAAGCTCTATCTTTTATTTTATTTATTATTCCTCGTTTTTCACATCCAACTTATATCTTTCTTGATCTTTATAAGTCACTGGAATCAGTCGTGATTTGTGAAGTTTAACCATATCAAGTATGAAACAATAATCATAATTAAAAATGGATGATAAATGTAATGAATGTTAACTCCATTGTGACAATACACATTTCTCAATCAAAGCCTCAATGTCCCGAATTCAACCTTTGGTGGATTTCTGGTTAGGTGAATTAGTTCAATGTTCGATTATTTTGAATGATTGTCCAGCTAAAATTAACTTTAATTACATTCACTACAAATATCTCATATTGAATACAGATTATCATTAACATTTATAAGTTTTTATTATTAACTTATTAAGTTTAAGAATAATAAATATAAACTATTTATCATTGAATTCATGAGTCAATTGAAGCTGGAAAACCATGGAAGACCTGGAAGCACTGGACAGCCGTTTTATCCTAGTATGGGACTCTTCAACAGTGCTTCCAAGTACTTCATAATGGTCTAGCATCAATTAAATCAAGAATTTAATTATAAAATTACAAAACTCTTGATAAAACCCTCCTTCTGATAATAAATTATTTCAATAGTTGAAATCATGAGTCATTTGAGGCTAGACCACCATGGAAAACCTAGAAGCCCTGGAAGGCTTATGATTTCAACTACTGAAATTACTAAAATCTCCACAAAATTCCTTCTTGTAATAATCATCTGCTCACTAGTGACTGACTTTAAAAGGCATTCCCTGGAGTTCTAGTGAGAAGCCGTTACCGATGGAGTTCAACCAGGTCTGTTGAGCAATATCAGCTCACTGAAGACAATATTGTACGGTGGATCAATTTCGTGGATTGGTTGAAGTTAGACATTAACACCGTTGGATACCGATCAGCTCAGTGATCTAATGGTTAAGTGCTCGCGCGCGAGACTGATAGGTCTTGGGTTCAGATCTTACGAGGCGGGATCGTGGTTGCACACTGCCGAGGAGTCCCATTCTAGGACGAAACGGCCGTCCAATGCTTCCAGGTTTACCATGTTGGTCTAGCTTCATTTGACTTATGATTTCAACTATTGAAATTTCTATAATCTCCACAAAACCTCTTCTGATAATAAACTATTTATTTCACATAATAATTAAAGTTATCAATTGTAACTTACTTGAAATCGGCGCATATCACGTGGATTACCAGCATTTTTTAAACAGTTCTGATTACATTTCATAAAGAATTTAAGAAAATGTCTAAAACATAATGAATATTGGTTTGACAAGAAAAACAAAGAAAAAAAATGAAAGAGAAAAAAAAAAGAAAAGAAAATGTAACAATGCAAATGTAGTAAATTTTCATTCATAAATACTTTATTCTTTACTTCATAAATTACTTATTACAGATAGAAATGACAAGTTAAAACTAATGACATAACTTAAAAGTTAAAACAATGTTAAAGATGGAATGATCCATTGTTAAATAAACTATCAATCAACATATATTAGAATTCATTTAGTCATATGATGTTGTAATACATTATGCACGAAGCTTTGATTTATAATGTAGATGTGTTTTTTTCTTGTGTAAAGACTGTTGTATTCTAGGCCTTCTTTTGTTTGTTTTTTTTGTTTGTTGAATGTTAGTCATTATCCTTATGGGTAGTAATCAATTTAGGAGTATAAACTATCGCAGTCCCAAATAGGACGAAACGCGCGTCCTGGATTACACTGCTAGCCACTATCCATCTTTGCTTATATCGCAGATAGTTGTATCATTGCTAGTCATTATCAATGTAGAGCCTAATCTCAACGTATACTGGCCAAAGTGGTCATATAAGATGGATTTTTATTTTGAATGAAATGATATTAAGTACTGTTAATAATATGAAGATAGCTGTTACTTCCTGATTACCTACATATTTGAATGATATTTCTTCTTGGGGAATCTCAGTAAGAAATTGATATAAGGATGGCAGTGACAACTCGGGATCGTAACCATAGTGTCCGCGTGACAAATGCTTGACGTTGTTCATAAATAGCTTATTTGTGAGTAGTTTCACATGCATCAGCTATGTACTTTTAATCTCTTATTACCTGCCAGTGAAATCTATGGGTTGTAGTGAGGTGTGTTGTCTTTATGACTGGCATTTTCAGCACTCTTCTTCCGTGATGAGAAGGTGGTATCTCTACAGGTGCTACTTGTCTGACACACATAATTTACTGTACTACAACTTAATAAAGTCAAAAGTACAACTTCACCCTCAAACTACATATTTGCTGTTTTTAGTCTCACCATTCTCCAATCAACCTGCCTGACTTGACAGGACCTAAAGAAGCAAATCTCTCTAGTATGGCTTGATTAGATCATCATAATATGCAAAGCTGACAACCACACTAAGATACCAGTTAAATTTCAGTATAGGGGTTGTGGAAATCATTAAGTTTTTGATTGAGTTCATGGACCGATTGATGTTAGACCACCATTGAAAATCTGGAAGCACTGGGAAGCTGTTTCGTCCTATTGCAGGACTTCTCAGTAGTGCGCACCCACGATCGCGCTCACGGAACTAGCTCCGTGAAGGAATTCTCAGAGTTCTAGTCAGAACCAATGACCAGTGAAGCTAATCTGTGCCGGGTAGAGACAAGTATCTACCTTAGTACAATGGAAGGCGGTCGTGCAATTTCATAGATTGGTTGAAGTTAAACATTGACACCACTGGATGCCGGCTCAGTGGTCTGGTAGGTTAAGCATTCGCGCGCAGAACTGAAGGCCCAAGGTTCGAATCTCGAGAGTGGGTTCGTGGATATGCACTGCTGAGGAGTTAAGTTCCAGTATTTATTCGCTTATTTCATTCATGATAACCATACTTATTACCAAATTTTTACTCCTTGATTCGAAATCAATTTATTTATAAATAAATAACAGCAGGGTGTCTCACTCTCTCTCTCTCTCTCTCTTCCTCCCCCTTCCTGTAACAGACTTTTATTCATTTCACACAAATGTAATTAAATGAAACTTGCATAAACGTATACAATTTGTACAATAGTATATTGTTTATTCTGAATGAGTCTTTCGAATGAAGATGCATAAAAACATGTGGAATAAAAAAATAAAAAGAAGACCAAAAAAAAAAAGAAAATATCAAATTAGACTGAATTTTGTTGATAATGAAATATTTCATTGTATATTGTATTAATATATAAACATAACGAGGAATTATATCTGTTTATATTACAGTCACGTGTATGACATTACTACTACTCACACTACTACTGCTGCTACTACTACTACTAGCGTAAACCTTATAACTGCTTTAGTTGGTAGTTGTTTGAATAATATGAAAAGATTATTCTTCGAAATAAATTCTAACTTTAAATTCCTCCACCATCACCACCACATCGCGTGTTTCTGTAATAGGGCACTTGAAAAAGAAATGAACGAATAAATTCACTTAGTATTGTTTACTTGAATGTTCTTATTGATGTTCAGGACTGTAATTGATCAGTCGCTTATTGGAATATGTGCATCCTGTGCGTATTGCCTCGATATTGCCTTAATTCACTAGCATTCTAAACTTGGATGGATAGTGGCTAGCAGTGGAATCCACTTCGTCCTAGTTGAGACTCGTCAGTTGGGATGTACCTGCATCTCAAAGTTGATGTCGACTCAGGGACTCGAACCCAGCACCTTTCTCTTTAAACGCCATCGCATTATCCAAATAGGACGAAACGCGCATCTTAGATTCCACTGCTAGCCATTATCGATGTTTGCTTGAAATGAACTAATGTCTATAATAATTAACAAGACATATTACTGAAACGAATAAAATCATCTATATGTAAGTGCAACCGTATATATTTTAAGTTTGATATACCTATGTATTCCAGACTAAAATATGTTAATCTTAATCTATTGTCTTTCTCTTCCAGTTATAGTTTATTCAGTGTATATTATGACTGTATTTGAATGATTTGTATACATTTTTAATTTCAATAGCTATTCGGAATGTAAAGTGATGTAACGATAGCCACTATTTTTGATTGGTTAAATATTTTGAAAAAATAAGAATTGAATAGTTGAATTGTAGGCATCTGGGAATTTAGGACATGCATTTCGTCCTATTTAGGACTAATCGACTTTATATACCTGTCACATCTTGATGTTAATGTTTACACTGAGTTTTGAATTAATTAACTTTCGTTTCAAATGGCATCGCATGATCCACTGTGCTACTGAGTTCAGATATCTATTAGGTTTTACAGTAAGTATGGTGCTTATATCATGATTAGTAAAGGTTTAAATTAGACTCACTAGCTAAATGGATAACGCTTTCCTATTTAAGACAGAGGTTGCTGAGTTCGAGTTTTAATGTCGATATCAACGCTGAAATGTAAGTATATCCAGCTGATGAGTTGTAAATAAGACGGAATGTTAGCATTGAATTCCATTGCCAGTCTGAATTCATATCTTCTCGAAAAAACACATAACCAAATAGCTAGACAGAAACAATGCGTATCATGATAATTATTTTAGAATTGCAGGTTTGTGAAGACAAATTCTGTTTGGATTTAGTTCTTCTCAGTGACTAACATGTTAGGAGCGGGAAAAGTATATTCCAATGGAATTGTGATGATGGTTACACAATACTGCAAACTAACTGATGTTACTAACTATAAAGTATCATAGTTATAAATGAACCTGAAGTTCCATAGTTCGCTCTCACGTGAATTAATATATATGTACTGATGAAAGGTATGAAACTTGGCTGGATTAACTGTCCGGTGGTTTTTGGTTTTGAGTGAATATCTGATTGACGTTAAATCACTGGTTGAAATGATGTTAAACAGGAATGTAATCACAAAGTGAGAATTTTTCTAATATCATAAAGATAACTGTTAATTCATATAAATCTGACCTATCAGTGAATTGATAATTTACTAGCTACAATTTAAAAAAAAACTAATCTCAGGAATTTATTTACTAATGAATGTTTGAAATTCATTTCACTTTTCAGATGATCAGATTAACCTAATGAAAATAACTATTCATCTGAATGCTTTTCAAAGTTATTCAACGTTATATTGTCTAATCTTGAGTACTGACCATGTTCTATCGATCAGACTAGGTACTTCAATCATTAAACTTAGTATCAGAATAGGGATTTGTGGAGATTGTGGTAATTTTAATAATTGAATTCATGAGTTTATATAAGTTAGACCACCATCGAAAACCTGGAAGCAGTAGACAACCATTTCGTCTTAGTATGGAACTAGCGAGCAGACTCAGACCCAGGACCTTTGGTCTGACACGCAAACGGATGACCTGTAGACCACTGAGCCGACCGGCATCCAACGGCTTAGTGGTCTAGAAGCTGAGCGTTCTCGTGCGAGATTGAAGATTCTAGGTTCGAGTCTTTTCGGTATGGGATAGTGGATATGTACTGCTGAGGACTAGATTTAGTGGTTAAACATCGTAATGCACTTTTTATGTCATTCAACATTAAGAAATAATTGAAGAAAGCTTTCAATCTACTGTCCACTTTTAAAGGAAGTGGACGCTAATGATTTTGTCCAAAATGATTACAAAGCTCTACAATTCGATTATAAAACTCATTGAACATATCACCAAAATGTTGTATAATGTTTTGGCACCAACAGGGTTAGTTGACATAACATTGACAACTCTTCAGTCATTCATCCCTATGGGAAATTTATTCTATATTGATAATATATAATGAAAATATTTCTGGTACTTGGTAACGTGAGTTTTAATCCAATAAAGTGCATTTGAGATAAACCTTACTAACGAATGTTGATTAGGATAAAACTTTGATCCAATGCTTTATATTAATTATTTTCACATATTTAACATATTAGAAATGCTTACATACAAGTAAGTTGATTGATACTGATTTAGTACATGACAAAAGACAAATATAATATTAGTTTTTGAAAGATAACTTACTTGTATATAGAATATGATCAAACACAACACAACTATTTGACTAATATATTTTGAGCTTATTTAAAATTAACTGATGATTGGGTATTGATCAATGTCATGTGTATCAGGTTCTTCTTAGTGCAAATCAAATTCTATCGACCAATTTGAGATGTAGCCACTAGTCTGCACTAAGAAAGACCAAACACATATAACATTGGTTACTACCTAATAATCAATCAATTGTAAATATATCTCAGTTCCACAGGAGATCAGTCACGGCCTGGGTAGCTCAGTGGTCATGTCTCCTTGA